GTTCAACTTCCGCCTAGGCTTCATAATATTTATTGTGACCCATAATAGTTTAAATATTAAGATGGCAAAAAATGACCCTTTTTTTCTCTTATTTATAAACTAAAACCAGAAAGTGTGGCATGAATATGTATTTACCCCACATATACTTAAAAAACAGCGGATAAAATTCAGCTTCTTTGTGGTCTTCACAGCAGCTCTGCCGCAAGTCGTTATGACTTATCAGAGCTGGCAAAGGTTTTACACCAGAATCCTTTCTGCCGCAACCGGTTCTCCAAGTATGGAGTGAGTTTTGTTCCATAATTTTTGCAAGAAAGGTTTTTTTAAAAAGTTAATTTGAAAAGATAAACAGGGTAACCTTGCTGTTTTTTCTGTTTTATATATATATATATATATATATATATATATATATATATATATATATATATATATATATATATAAAACTGCAAAGTTACTCTCAAAAAATATTTTTTATTTATATAAGTTTTTAAAAGCTTCTCTTCTGGATTTTTTTTTTTTTTTTTGGTCAAATTCATATTAACGAAGCATTGTCTTTGATTGCAACAATAATGTAAGAACAATGACTCATACGTGCCTGGCAGACACCATGGGGACTCCATTAAATAAAATTCAACTAATGGGTAAAAATAGTCCACCTGCATGTGATGTAATCTTCATATAAACCCAGCTGGTCTCTAAAATCATTTGAGGTTTGTTACTCTGTTAAACGGACCAAACTCTCTCATCTATCTAATGTTTCTCCACTTACTGCTTCCTCCAGCTGTAAAACTGTAGCAGCGCATAAGGATAGCACAAGCTGCCATTTACAAAGACGTGGCCTTCCATTTTGAGTCACAGGCTGGTCAAGGACATTATCAAAGAAGTGGCCAGGATCCCGTGGTAACTGAGAAACAGCTGTAGGTGATAAAATCCATCACTAGTTAGCTGTGCACTCTACAAATCTGGCATTTGATTTATCGAGTTTGCATGTGCACAAAATAAGGGCTTCGAACTTTTGTATTAACATTGTTATGCAAAATTTTTCATTTATTTAGAGAGAAACAAAATGTAGTGGAAGTATGCGTTACGAATCATGTGAACGGTACACATATTTTTAAGGACAGAGGAAAAGAGCGATACTGACAGTGAGAAGTCTCAGAGGATCTCAGAGGATCAGTATTATTTTATTAAAAACAATAAATATAAGAGGTATTAAAAGTATTAATTTTAAAGTTTTGTTATTTTGTATACACAGAGCTTAAATAAGACCACATTTCTTTTTTGTACAGCTTTTCATGACAGTGCAGCAGAGATCAAATGTAAACAGTGTGGGAGGAAAAAAGAGAGTGCAAGAAAAAAATAATGCATTGATATGGAAGTTCAGACCATTAAATATATATAGTGTGATTTTGCAGTGTTTTGGTTTGGTCTTTGTAGAACTTAGAGTATCAACTTAAGCTTTTTATTCAAGTAAAAATATAAAAGTACAATTTTTAAAACTACTTAATGTATAGAAGTAAACGTAATACAAGAAAAACGGTTAATGACCAATGCTTTACTACACTACCCTACTAAAGGAAGATTTTTCTAAAATCCTGGATGATACTTATTATATTTGATTTTTTTTTTTTAGTTTTATAACTAATAGAAACAGTGTCAAATTTAACTTTGCATCATCTTGAAGATTATTTTATTTTTGTATGTGATGAACAACAAGTTCAGAAATGAATTGTCTGAATAAAACATTATTTTGATGATTTAATAAACATCCAGAGGCAAACAGGGGCAAAAATACGAAATACTGATAACCAAAAACAAGAAAACCTCAGCTGAAAACACACATGGGGAGCAAGGAGACAACAGAGGAACAAAACAACAATGAGAAACCAGCAAACAATGACTGAACATGAGGTGTATAAATGGGAGACGGCAGATTGGGAGCAGGTGTGGACAGAGGAGTCTAGAAGAAAAAAAAGAGTAACACAAGAGGGCAGCAGAGGGCAAAGAATACCTCTTTAACTAAAAAACACATAAAAAGAAAACATAAACAGAACCAAAAAGTGCAGTCGTGACACTTTGTTAATTGACACTTCTGATAAATATAGATCTACATCATAAACATTCAGTAATACAATATTACAGCGTTTTATACTGGTGGAACACAACTATATAAGGACCTTTAATATAATGTCCGATGATTGACAGGGCGAGTCATACCACAGATCACTACATAAATTAAACACTCACTTTAGTTGCTTGAAGCATTTTAATAGGCTGTGTACGAGTGTAGTGATGGACAATACTCTGATTCAGAACATCAAACCTATGAGAATTAGGAGGAAACATGTTCTCAAGGATAACCAAGTTGTCTGTCTATTGACATCCCACTAAAAATACACTTAGTTCACGCTTTATTATATTTAACCCTATGTTAAGTAAATATATATTAATTTAAATTAATTTTAAGAATGTTTTTAATTAGTTAACTCAACATTTAAATGTTTTTTTGTTAAATAATGGTACTTTTTTATTTTGTATTTTACAACACAGTGGAATATCTAATGTTTAAATCATGTAGTACATTAAATATTACACCTGCTTATTTTAGGGTGAATTCATTTGTACGTACGTAAACAGGAGATCAGTAAGGACAGACCTAATGTGGAAGAAACAAAAAGGAAAATAAATATGGAAAGCCAGGATTTTCTGGGGAAATTAAAGATTTGAAATGCATTTGAAAATTATAATCAGATTATTTAAAACAAGCAAAAAAATGTCTGGGGTTCATTTCCACTTTTATCATAGTAGATATCCCCAAAGGTTTCCAATATAATCAACAATTAACTCTCTGATTGGAGCAACTTTTATGAACAAAATAATTCTGTGAATGAATCCATAAAACTGAGACATTGCAGCCATGGGTGGTTCTAGACAAGGGTCGGCCGGGGGCCAGTGCCCCCCTAGAACTGGTCCTGGCCCCTGTTATGGCCCCTGTACTGAAAACAAACAGAACATTATTTTTGCTTTACACACGTAGTGCACTATTAGACAAATTTCTTGGAGTATTTTCCTTCGATTTAAGGCGGAAAGACAATTTGCAGATGGACTAAGATGATTTATGTGTGGAATAAGAAATTAAGAATACTTGTTCCTTTGGAAGAAGAATGCACTTTTTATGAACATTTTTACTTTTTTTAGATCAGTTTTTTTTTTCTTGCATTATTCTTTTGCTCTGTGCCCCCATCAAGAGGAACAGGCCCTATCCTGCCCCCCTGGTAAATTTCGTCCAGAACCCTCCACTGATTACAGCCACCTGCAAAGAGCACAGTACTGCCTTCTGCCTTTAATCTCCTTCATATAATCCCTATATAAATCTGCATTTTTTTTTCATTTGTGATTCTTTTATTTCTCATTTTCTACTGTCGCTACCAAACATATTTTTCCAACTGTCCACCAGTTCTGCCTTGATTAAACTGTTTCAACTATTTTAGCTCTCTTCCCTGCAGTTGCCATTGGTAACTATAAAATAACTTTGATCAGCTGGCTCATTTAATTAAACATGAAGTTCATGCGGTGCTTCACATGGACCAATCTGGCCCTGAAAAGGGGAGAACAGAAGGTGGAAACTTGCTTGTTTTAGTGCATTTGCATGGTTTGATAAATATAAAATGTTTTTGTTTCCACCATTTTGTTTTTTGGTTGTTAGTATTAAAGTTTCCATGCAATATTTTTTTTAAATGACCCCTGTTCTTCTTGGATGGGCCAAGTGGTAAAATGTTCAATTCAGTTTATTTCTATAGCGCCAATTCACTACACATGTCATCTCAAGGCACTTTACAATTCACCAAATCATACAGTCAATTGATTCACAGTTTAATTGTTTTGATCAAATGGTACCAAAATGTTACTTGTTTTCATAGAAATTGTTATGCAAAGAAGTCTATGACTTATGTCTTACACTTTACAGCAATCCTTCAAACCAAGTATGCATGCAGTGACAGTGGAGAGAAAAAAAACGTTATTTTAACAGAAAGCAACCTCCAGCTTAACCAGGCTCAGTGTAGGCAACCATCTGCTAAATCTCACTGGGGTTCAAGGAGATAGAAGCAGACATGCAAAAGGAACACAGAAGCACTGATTTATATAGTAAACATTTTTTGTTTGTTAGAAATCACTAAACCAACTCCATAGGTGAATCTGTTTAGGGGATAAACAGCTAAGCTACGAGGTAGTTTTCATGTCAAAGAGATGAAAGAAAGTTAGTTAGTCACAGTTAAAGCTGAGCTCCTACCTATGTCTAGGAGAGAGGCTGGACTAAGCACTGAAAAACAGACCGACTATCAACTAGCATCTAAGGTTTTAATGACAGTTGCCCTGTTGTTAATTCTCTCCAACATAGTGTCGCAGCCAAACAGCAAGAGAACAGATGGAGATACTATGATAAGAAAAGCAGAGAGAACATAAAGTTATGGGTTGAACTAACAAGTCATGTAGAATTGGAGAACAGAAGAAAGAGAATGATAAAAAGTGTTCCCCATGTCCTCAAGCACCCTAGTCCTACAGCAGCAAGATTCAAATACCAATGATGTATAGGAAGGACACAGCCAGTGTTAACATTTTAGTTAGAAAATAACCTTGGAAACCCTGTATCACATTTTCCTACTTTTCGTAAATCTACTATTTGTTGCTTTTTTTAAACAACACTAAGGAGTGTGGATATAATGCTGCAAAATATAAAAATACCAAAAAACATACAGATTCTTTGGCCAAGCTCTGTACTTTATCCCCCTTTGGGGTGTTCTAGGGGGAATTGTTTGGAGTAAAGCAAAACTCTATCACTGGAGCATATTTGTTGGTGGTAACTATTTGTTTTCATATTTGTGAGTTCAAAATACACCGAAATGTCCATGGATAAAGAAAGAAACTCTGGAAAAATGAAAAAATAATGGTAAGAAAGAGAAATAACTGCTAAATTGCAGGTGTTTTTTGTCTGTCCCTCCAGGATGAACCAGGCTCCTACTGATGGGTTTGAGGAAGATGTAGGAACACGAACAACTCATCATGTCATGTACCCAGAGAGTGCCATAGACTTGGACAACACCACCAGTCTGGTGCTGATCCCTTTCAAAGTTCTGGACCTGCAGTGGATTATCAGTGCTCTGACTACTGGCACAATAAAACAGTAAGTACTGTTTGGAACTGCACCACACTGGTCATTGCTTCTCAAACAGGAGTACAATATTGAATATATGGTGAAAGTCAAAGCATTACTGCAAAATGATGTAAAAGTAAAAAAAATAACTGATTCTTAACCATAACTTAATGTTTGGAAAATATTTCATTTGCCTCCAAAACCCATCATAAGGGAAATGCTGTGCAAATGTAAATGTTGCAGATATTGTGCTTTATATTCTAAATTACTATCAAACAGGCTGAGTTTAAACAAAAGGTTTAAAACAAAACTGTCATGTAGAGCCATGTTTTCTAACTCTTTTTTAACTTGTGTACCTCTTTGTGCATTTTTTATACCCAAAGAGTGAATACCACTATATGACAAAAGTATTGATGACTGTCCAAAAGTGAAAGACTATTTAGACTGAGAAGCAGAACAGAGAGATACAGAAATTTCCATATATTTCCATATATTCTGAAATTTCAATATATTATTATTTTCTAATCTAATTTAATTTGTTATCCTATTTTATATGTTCTATCTCTCCATCCATCTCCCGTAAATCCTCTAATATAGGACAGGGCCTTTATTTCACTCAGCTACATCTT